AACCCCTGCAAGTGAAATATTCCTCCCTAATATTTTGCTCACTATTCTTACGTTGTTCTATCAGTTTTGCAAGTCCTTTCTCTATTAACTTAACTTTTATATTAATTGCTATTAATAAGCTAAATCTGAGAAACTTTCATTAAGAAGATGAACCATTAGCAACACAAGTTTTAAAATTGACATCTATTCCTATATTCAGTTAATCTGCTATACTAATAATATCATAATCTCATTTTTAGAATTTAAACAAAGAGAAATATTCAAAATAAATATAATTTTTGTTATTTCTCATCATATATTGAGAGTTAAATATTTATAGAGAAATCAAAAACAAAAGATGGAATAAACTAACCAAAATAGGCTAATGTTATTAAATGAAGGAAGTACATTCATCCTATTTCTTATATAAATTATTATAATTATATAATTAGATAATAAAATCATAAAATTAATTCTTCAATTGATATTGAGATGAATTCCTTTGTTTAATAAAAGTTATTTATCCTAAATGCAATCAAAAAATTTAATATATGTTAAGTATTTAAGCCAATACGAGAACCTAGCTTTAATCTCCTTATCGATATCACCTTTAGCGTTGTATAAGACCATGTAAAATATTAGAATAAAATCGACCAATTTTATGATATTAAGAAGGTATTCTCCTATTATACATAATTGATGAATACCAGAATTGATATATATAATTTCAAATAATTAAATTTCTTACATCATTTTTAATTTGACAATTTGTATTCTGATAATAGTATTAATCCTTTTCTATATTTATTACTTTTAAATCTATTGCAAAATTTCTAACTTTTCCTTTAATGAAATTGTAAAAAAAATTTAATATTCCAATAGATATTCTAAAAATTATACTCTTATTTAAAATTATTTTCTTTAATAAAAAGCAGATGCTAGAAATTTGCTAATTACATTTTGTGGGTAAAAATTTATTTATCATGCCTATAAATCTTCTTAAATCGTATAACAGTTTATCTGGATGTTGATGAATGCTTCGGCAAATCGAAATAGAAAAATCTAATTGAATTAACAATTATACCTAATTAATTAGTTTTGGGTACCATGCCAATATTATGGTCTCCAAATATACTTTAAAATATATCAAATATAAATTATTAAAAGGTTAAATTTACTTATCCTAGGATTATAGTTAGTAAGTAAAAAAATTCCTTGTAAATCTTTTCGCGAATGTAATTAAAAATATTGTTATCTTTGTTTGACATTCTGTGTCGTTGTGACAAAGTTCTCATATAAATAACTTTGTGATAAATGTAAAACTTAAATTTAAAAAACAGTTTTATAAACACCAAACATTGTGTAAGTTACTAATTTTTGTTCTTAAAGATAACTTATTTTAGAATCCTAAAATTTGCTCTAGACAAAAATCTCCGCTCTCAGGGTGATTAACCTAATCCTGATAAATTGCTTTCATAGCCTTAATGAAGGGTTTAGAAATGTTTGTGGATATTAACTTCATTTTCATACTCACCCTAAATGATCTAAAGATAAAAAGGTTCTCTAAAGAGTACTCTCAAGTTATTCTATCATTTATGAAGATATGAGTCATACTAAAAAATTGGGCCTAATATTCTTTATTATTAATAATTTGAGAAAAATTATAAGAAGATTGATATTTGTTTTAGCTAGTTGATGAGTAGGCTTCTCTTAGATTATACATCTTTTTATGATACTACAAAACTAAGCTACATAAAAGCTATGCACAGCCATCAAGTTGTATTTTAGAATTTTTAAAGAATTATCATAAGGATATTTTAAAGATTTGACTCAAGAGCTATACTTGAATAATCTGTAAACAAGTAGATTAGGAGTAAGAATTGTGCAACTGATACAAAGATTTTGAATTTAAATTGTAAAAATTCTAAAAAGGTTTAGACATATATTAAAACCACAGTTCCATATGGAGAAAGATTTTAATTTTACTATCTCCCCTATAACTTGAAGCTCAGGGTACTAATCTACAATAAAGGTTTTAAGTGGTTCGGAAGGAAGACGAAGTCGAGTCAGAATAGTTTATTTACTATGAGTTGTTTTCAATTATTAGAGTATACTTACACACTTACAATGTCCAGAAAATGAGATTAGTTTATGATAGGTTTGAATCTAAAGAAAACTCATATTCAATCATTTTTTTCATAAAATATCATTTCAATATTTCAATGAAGGTTTCTAAAACTGAAATAGCAGTCTAAAATTTAATATCCTTCTCGCAAATAATAACTAACAATAGTATATTAGATTTTTTATTGTTTTGCCTATCTCCAATTATTAAAATACAAAGTACCTTTTATGATTATTTCGTTACAGTAGCCTCTGAAAAGTATACTTCGAAAATGGCTTTACATTCAACATATTTTAGGATACTAAAGTAATTTTGCTTTCATATAGCCTCTATCAAAGAATAGTTTGCAGTCCTCAGTCCTAGTTTCATATAATTTATTCTTAATTTTGGATTCTGGTTTGTTTCTGAATTGAACGTTCTTTTATTATTAAGTTACTTAAAAATTCTTATCAGGTTAAAATTTAATTTATTCCAAAGAATAATCCTTATTATTTGTGTTAGTTACTTCTCCTCAAATAATTTCAATTTTGGAAGCTCTCTTTATTATCCCCTTTTTGTTGTGGGTGTTCATTAAATAATCTATATTGACATCATGAGAATCAGAATATTCAACCTAACTAACTCGCAAGGCTAAAGGACAGTTTGATGAACAGATTGTACATTTGAGAAGCAGTATACAACGCACAGAGGCCAAGTTTCCAGTTTTTTGGAACAATCCTTTGTTGTTTTAGGTTACAATTTGTACTGCATTCATATGCAAATATATCAAGTGAGCGTGATATAACTATGCCTGGAGATAAAGACTAATTTCGGACTATATGAGTATCAGATCTAATATAGGATGCAATAAATAAACAACTAAAATTCCTGTTACAAAAGGTTTATAATATTATCTACTTGATTTAGAAAAACATAAGATAATAATTGTTAACAAAAATTGAGCCTGAATTTCGACCACTTGGTTCATTATCGATATCATCGCCAAGAATGTAGCAAGTTAATGTACTTTTTCTGAAGAAATAATCCATGTTTATTTATTAAAACTTCATATGTTGGTATTATTATAATATTAGGAGAGAAACTAAAACAGTTTATTTTGTTATTATTCTACATGCAAGTAAAGGATATTTGCAAGATAAAAATGTGATAACTAATATTAACAGAGTAGGCTAAACTATTGTAATATGTGGGGTAGCCTCAACATATTGAACAAGCTTATATATTCCTCACTACTGTCATCATTGTGTAAAATTGCCATGAAAGTTCAATACGGAGAAACTTGGTAGCAGTACCATTAGAAGAGAAATGTACTTATATGTCATAATTGGATTGTTATATTTACATAGTTGTGGCAAGAAGTTACAAACTGACAATCGAGATTTGAATGCTAGATCTATATTTTATGTAGATGACAACAAGAAGTTATCAACATATATGAGCGATTATAAATGGGACATTAAATATTGTTGATCCTTGCATAATAACTTAATAAATCCTTAAATTTAGATCATCCATATTTACCTAAAGAGCTATGCTCTAAATAAAAGCCATTGTCAAGGAAGTATATAGAATAAGCATAAGTAACTACATAGTTAAAGTCATACAAATATTAATTGAAAAAGAACAAGAAGCCTTAAGACTAGCAACAATAATAATTGTTAGTCTCAAAAGAAGTATCAATAAGATGCCCTGATATAACGCAAAATGATGGAAAATGCGAAAAAAGTTTAAAGAATTCATATTTACTTAAGTGACCAATCAATCAACATTGTGCTAATTTCTTACAGAAAAATGAACTATAATGATATATTTCCATTTTTTGAATTTTCTCAAATGCGAATTTTGATGCCTTACTATCTTTGAAAGATGAATTTTTAGATTATAAAGGAAATAATTGATATCATTCTTTGAGTCAAAAGCAGTTTGATTTAGGAGGTTCAATAAATCGAAAAAGTAATTAATTATGATAAAAAACACCAAACAAACAATAGCAATTAGATTTACTAGGTTTTTAAATTGCTCAATCAAAAATTGCATAATTATTAATCTTTTGGGTTTTTTGCAAGTATTATTATAAAAAACGTAGCTATATTAGATATTCACAAAACTAAATTTGATTTTCAATAGACTCTCAATAATAAGGATAGGGTGCAATATTTATTTATAGGAGTGAGGAAACTTTATCATTATAGTAGAGAATTTCAAGATAGTCATTACTAAGAACTGCTTGCATAATGTAAACTCCACTTTAACGGAATCAAGTTTTTGGAAATGCCATTTATTCTTTCATATGATTTAACTATATCCTAATTTGATAATATTTACAACTCAAATTTAATTGTAAAAATTCGTAACGGAGATAATAGATTGTAAAACTTCTAAGTGAGCCATTTTATACAGTAAATAGACCATAACATATTTTGTGTTGATATTCAAAGATTGAAAACAGCCTAGGCATATGTTACTAATTTGATCAATAAATTGATGTAAGATCATGATTATTAAATATTATGGCTCATAACTTAAAACTTTGTTAATGTGAAATTATTTGTATATTTAATTGAATAATTTATTGAATCATAGAAAATGATTTCAATAAGAAATTTCTGATATAAATATTATGAAAAACTTTAATAAATTACCATTATTATTTTCATGATTTAACCAATTTGTATTGATCTTTAAGAAGAAAATGTTTGGTATTTAATAGTTAGGATCAGCATTAGTAAATAAGAATCAATTTCAAGAGCATTTGTTTGTTATGACAAACCAAATTCTATTGATCTTAAATAATATGATGCATGGAATGCCAAGGGTACTTAATTCTTAAATTTTAATATTAAGGATAAGCACTACTCGATCTGAATCAATATGAAGAAGCAATCGAATGCTACATAAAAGCTATTTCTGTTAATTCTAAAATTGAGTCAGCATGGTATGGTAAAGGTAATTAATTGTTAAATATTAATATTTAGGATTGGCATTAAACAGTTTGAATAGGTATCAAGGAGCAATTGAATGTTTCGAAGAAGTTATTTCTATTAATCCAATAAGTGATTCAGCATGGAATTGCAAGGGTAAATAATTGTTAGTATTAATATTTTGGATGGGCATTAAGAAATTTGAATCATTATCAAGAAGCAATTGAATGCTACAACCAAGCTATTTCTATTAATTAAAAAAATGATTCAACATGGTTTGGTAAAGGTAATGATTTGTTCAATATAATAATTAGGGTATTCATTAAGCCATTTGAACCAATATAAAGAAGCAATTAAATGCTATAATGAAGCAATTGTTATAAATTCTAAGTGTTATAAAGCATGGTTTAACAAGGGTACTGAATTCTTAATCATTTGTATTTAGGAAATGCATTAAGAAATTTGAACCAATATTAAGAAGCAATTTAGTGCTACGACGAAGCTAATTTTATCAATCCTAATTCTTATGAGGTATGGTTTAACAAGGGTAAATAATAGTTAAATATTAATGATTAGGGAGTGCATTAAGCCATATGAATTAATATCAACAAGCAATTTTATGTTACGACTTATCTATATCGATTAATCCAAAATATGACTCAGCTTTTAATGGCAAAGGTAATAACTTGTTAAATATAAATACTTAGGCAAGGCATTAAGAAATCTGAATCAATTTCAAAAAGCAATTCAATGCTATAACAAAGCTATCTCTATTAATTAAAAAAATGATTCTACATGGTTTGGCAAGGGTAATAAACTCTTAAATAGTAATATTTAGGGTTGGTATTATATAAATTGAAATAATATGAGGAAGCAATTTAATGTTACAATGAAGCAATTACTATTAATCCGTAATTTGATACTGCTTGGAATAACAAAGGTAATTAATTGTTTAATATATTATTTAGGGTTGGCATTATAAAAATTGAATCAATATGAGGAAGCAATTAAATGTTACAATGAAGCAATAGCTATTAATCCTTAATTTGATACTGCTTGGAAAAACAAAGGTAATTAATTTTTTCATATATTATTTAGGATTAGTATTAAATAATTTGAATCAATAACAAGAAGCAATTTAATGCTACAATGAAGCAATATCTATTAACCCTAATAATACTTTTGCATGGTAAAATGAGGGTAATAAATTCCTAAATAGTAATATTTAGGGTTAGTATTATATCAATTGAACCAATATTAAGAAGCAATTAAATGCTACAAAAAAGCAATATCTATTAATCCTTAATTTGGTTCAGCTTGGTATAATAAGGGTAAATAATTTCTATATATTAATATTTAGGATTAGCAGTATAAAAATTGAATCAATATGAGGAAGCAATTAAATGTTACAACGAAGCAATAGCTATTAATCCTAATTTATCTTCTGCATGGTAAAATAAGGGTAATGAATTCTTAAATAGTAATATTAAGGGTTGGTATTATATAAATTGAACCAATATTAAGAAGCAATTAAATGCTACAACAAAGCAATATCTATTAATCCTAATTGTTCTTCATCATGGAATAATAAGGGTAAATAATTGCTATATATTAATATTAAGGATTAGCAGTATAAAAATTGAATCAATATGAGGAAGCAATTAAATGTTACAACGAAGCAATAGCTATTAATCCTTAATTTGATACTGCTTGGAATAACAAAGGTAATTAATTGTTTCATATATTATATAGGATTAGCATTAAATAATTTGAATCAATAACAAGAAGCAATTTAATGCTACAATGAAGCAATATCTATTAACCCTAATTTATCTTCTGCATGGTAAAATAAGGGTAATGAATTCTTAAATAGTAATATTAAGGGTTGGTATTATATAAATTGAACCAAAATTAAGAAGCAATTAAATGCTACAACAAAGCAATATCTATTAATCCTAATTGTTCTTCATCATGGTATAATAAGGGTAAATAATTGCTATATATTAATATTTAGGATTAGCAGTATATAAATTGAAACAATATAAGGAATCAATTAAATGTAACAATGAAGCAATAGCTATTAATCCTTAATTTGATACTGCTTGGAATAACAAAGGTAATTAATTGTTAAATATTATTATTTAGGATTGGCATTATATATATTAAATCAATATCAAGAAGCAATTATATGTTTAGATAAAGCAATTTCTATTGACCCTAATTATTCTCCTGCATACTATAACAAGGGTAAATAATTATTAAATATTAATAATTTAGGTAATGTTTTAAAAAAATTGAAAAAATATCAAGAAGCAATTGAATGTTATAATTTTGCAATTGCTATTAACCCTAAAAATGATTTAGCATTTGAAAATAAAGGTAAATATTTTATTTTTTTAGGTTTAACCCTACATACAATATAAAAATTTATGGATGCACTTTCACATTTTGAACAAGCCCTTTTAATTAAAACTAATGCTCTTAGATTTAAATTTAAAGGTAAATTTTATGTAATTGAATTAAGCGGATTCACTATTTGAATTACGCAGAAAATAAGAAGCAAAATACTTTTATTTGGCTGCATAGGGACTGGGATTGGGTCAGAATGCCTATATTCAAAGTTAACTGTCAAAATTATGAAGCATATTATCATATTTTCATATTGGCTCATTAAATATTTTCTATTCATAGCTATTTATCCAATTCAAATTTCTAAAGTTGATTTCAAAAAGAACAATAATATAAATTAGTATTTTGAACAATCATTTTAATATACCTATATGTTTTCTCTTTATAAGTTTTTTTTCTATGTAAACCTTCTTTGTAAATAACATTATTTATTGAAATAAAGAAATCGTTTGTTATTTCTTTTGTTATCACTCTCAGCAAAGTCTAACCTAAAGCCTCATATGTATCATTTAATATATCAATTCTAAAGGCGCAAAATTACACCCCAACATATATACATTAAACTCAAATAACTGTTATGTATTATTTGATTTAAAACTTATGATAATAATATAGTTTACATTACATACCTCAAATAGATCATGCTACGAAAAGTTAAGAGTAATAAATCTAATTAATAAGGTTATTAAGTTGAAATATTTCTTTAATTAAGCAGTTGATTTTGTAACACAACATTTTTTTTTAGATTTTACTTTTTGTTTCCTTTATTACTTTTAACAAATAATTATTCTAGCATTATTAGAAAGAAATTAAATATTGCTTATGATGTGTATGATATTGATGTTGCTACCTTGAAAAAAATTAAGTGCTGTAAGACAAAATCATAGCCATTTATCAAATGGCTTAAGAAATACATTTTGCATCTAGCGGAGTAATATTGATAAATTAAAAAATCTAGATGTCAAATACTTGATCAAAAATTCTTTACATCTTCGCATAAAATAATATCTATTCAAATCCTTCCTCCTGACTTTGTAATTTAGTTAGGAGAATAGCTAATCTTTTTGACTTTTTGATTTATGAATAAGATGTTAAATTAAAAAGACTTTACTAAGACAAATAAAAAAACAAGGAGAAAGGAATTTACTGAGATGAAGAATTTACTTTATTTGAGCAAAGCTTCATTACTAAGCGTTTTAGAGAATTATTTGATTAAATGAAAATCTTTAAAATTTTATGAAAGTATATCTATATCGAACTAAAATGTGTAAAAAAGGAATTTGAAATTTGTTAGCAGAGTTGACAAGATTAGAAAAAGCTTTTATTTTCGTAAAAAGTTCTTTGTAAGTATTTTGAAAAGTAAGCAAAAGAATATTCTTGGTTTATATCATCTGTAAAATGAGGGAGTTATTTAGCCATTGTATTAATGAAAAAAGCAATAACTTTAAATTAAAACCTCAAAAAAAAGTTAAATGATTTATTGTATTTATATGATAGATAATTGTAATAAGAGTAGGTCTCATCATATAATTTTTGTAGGTTATCGATTAAAATCTACTTGAGATGTCCAACGATCTTTTCAGTATTTATAGTTGCTTTTAGTACTATTTCTCGGTTACAACAATATGGGGAGATCCTAATTTTTATATTTAAGAATATCATAAGAAACTCATGAACTAGAAAAATGACACTTACAGTAAATATTTTAGTGCTATGTGTATCATCCAAAATTACTATGTATAAATATCTTATATGTTGCTATGATATAATTTGTTATCAGGCTATAAACTTAACACCTTTTACAGTTATATATTAATTTGTTAATAAACCTTTAAAGGATAAGTATGAATTTATACAGTAATTATCATGTGAGATTGCACACCATTTATCTTACTATTACATTTATTAATTATTATAATAATGCTATTGCACTCTTTTATATTTAAGGCCTAGTTTTTATTAACAAATTCAAATTTTTGATTAAAAAAGTACGAACCGTTGTAAGTATTACCACTGCGAATCAAATCTATGCACTTACACTCACAAGAGACATAAAGCTTCCTTTACCACTTTAATTTCGTTTTGTATGTTTATAGCAGTTCTAGCAATATTAAAAATATTTGTGAATAAACAGAGACTTTTTTAATTGTATGAAAATTGGCGTTTAACTAATTAACGTGTAAATTGTTAAGACTTTGAACATGTGAATGCTCGATTTTATTTCATATCTTTGCAATCCTAACGCCATAAAGATGGAGATAATTTGATTCAAGCATTGCATATTTGTTTTTTTCCACTCTAGCATTTTCTACAGCCTTCAATCATCAATTTCATTCATCGCTTTGTTTTTAGGGAATCTGCTGGAGCTGTAATAGCTACTGAATCTTACAATATCGAACATAAGGCGATTCCTGTTTCTTGTTTTGAAAAATTTGTCTCAATTATTTATCACCATCTGTTGGCTTTTATTATTATTATTGGTATTTTAATGTAAGATGCACTAAATGTTTTTATTACTTATCACAACTTTTAAGTTATCTTCTACAATTATTCTCAATTCTATGTTAATCGTGTCCTTTACGCAGCACCTGGAGTCAGTTTGTCTCATCATTTCTCAGGTTCTATTATCTGGCAATTTACTTGAAGTTTTCTTATATAATGTTTTATGTAAAATTGCTTACAAACTTGTAAAAGATTTTGGGAATGCTAGTGACAAAAGTAAATTGATTAATATTTTTATTCCACCGGTATCCCTGAATGCCTAAATAAATTGTTCATTATACTTATTCTGTTTTTCACAATACTTATGGGGTCAAATTTTACTCTTGCATTATTAATGTTTCTATGTGTTATCCTCCATACAGTGTTAAACAATTCCAGTTGGGTGTCTTAATCAAGTAAGGCAAAACTCATAAATCTTCATCAATTAGAACATGAAAGGCTTTTCTGTTATCGATATTCAGTTGATGAAGCCTGTATCTTCTAAGAGAATTCTTTGTTATTATAAATCACAATATTGCAGGAGAATGCTTCAAGGAGTCAGTATTCTAGTTTTTTAATTACGAGTCTGTTTGAAATCCGATGCGTATTCTGAACTGTTCTGAGGGTTTTAAAATCTGCTTTGAAAAACATTTAAAAAGTTGATCCATTTTTCCTATTAACTTCCAATTTGGAATTGATTATTAAAGGGGTCTTTGCCCATATTATATCCTTTTCTATTAAATGCCGCGAGTTCTTCCAGATATTCTCTGCTTACACCAACTCTCCCACTTCCCTACTTTTTTCCCATATTAATATTCCCCTAAAAATGTTATTTATTTTTTATTCCAAAAATTTCATCCAAATCAATCCACTAGCCAATCTTAACACCATCATTTGCTTTGTCATAAGATCCACTTCTACTGAAAGTAAAATTGTTGAAAATATTTAACTATATATATTTTTTCATTTATTCAAATGGTTAATATTTATGTCGCCTAAGCATAATATCCCATCTGCAGATTTCTTACCCTGTTATATTCACCGTTATAAGTAACTTGAGATTAATCCCAAAAGCTTCCCGCATCTTCACCTATTTACGATTTTTTTGTATTAGCTAATACCGCTATTGTATTTAATTTAATTCATCTTTATACTACTATTTCCATTTACATTTCTTGACCCATTATCATATTCCTCAAACTCATAAGCTTTGGCTAAATTAATATATCTGAAATAGCACCTTATGTCCAATAATTTGATATCAGTCCTTTCAATTTGCCTTCTTTATTCCCTTTTTCTGAATACTCTTTGCCAACACCTTAGATAATTTCACCTTTCCATTGAGCATACCAATAACCGACTTTCTAATTATTTTATAAATATTTTCCAGACCAATTGAGATGCTGGATTTAATCTAAATTGGTTAAAACTTTCGGTATTTTTTTGACTTTTCTATTATTATTATTATGAACTCTTACATCCTTATGACTAATCCATTTCTTAAGTAATAGGTGTCAAAATTCTAAGTTCACTTGATTTAGAATTTATTATAAATGAACCCTTTCTAATGCTCTTTCCCAATTTTTTCTTAATATTTGTATGTTCCCACTTCTATCTCTTCATTTATGTTAAATCCGTTATTATAATCTCTAAAATAGACTCATACATACTTCTTTAAGGATTCTTAAACGTTTTAAGCATCCTTAGAAGATGTTTGAAGCATTCTCTTATAACATGAAATCAAATTATTAAATTTTAAGATACTAAATGATTAATATCCATAGTTTTCAATTATATTATAGCAATAATATAAAATTATCAATGTAAAATACTAATATGGAAATAAATTAGAAAGAAATATAGCGCTATATAGAGTTGAAAAATCAGTTCTATTTTTAGAATTATTATAAATTTAGGAAATAATTAACTTGTAGTAAATAAGTGGTAATTTAATAGAGATAAAATAAATGATAAAGGAATAGTTTATTTAACAGATTCATATTATTAAATTAGATAAAGCGAATATTCATATGAGTTTTATAAAGGTAAAATTTTATTTTATATTATTCACTTACTAATTTAAATAATAAATTAAATAGTTGAATTCCTCTTATTTAGATTATAAAGATGATATTTAGAGAATTGAAAAAAATGCTGATTTGAAGAATAAATCTCTCAATCTGTATTTAATTAAAGGTTAGTCTGCTTCTATGAAATTACTAGATATTGATTAAAATTTAATTTAATGATTACAATCTTAATGACTGAATGAATAGAGGTGATGTAATTATAAAGATGCAAAATAAATAAATTCATCAAGGAGATTGAATATTTGAGTTATATAACAAGTATCATAAATTTCCTAAAAAAAATCAAATATATAGTCAATTTTTATACTAAAATACACACTCAAAAAGGAAGTTTAGAGGTTGATGAATAAACTTTGTACTGATCCAGATATCCTTATCCTCATAAATTATGTACAAGATATAAGCGATAATTCACTTAATAAATGTTGATATCAGCTTCATTTTACTATTACTCAAATCTTGTATAGAAATTATTACGATAGTCTAAGATTATAACAAAAAAACAAACTATATAATAAGATAAGTTATGTAAGCGTTGTATTCAACCTTTACTAAATATCTTGATATATACTTATTGATATGAAGTATGTTTTAATTAGTTATAGCGAAATTAATCTTAATATTTGAAAAAGGATCTATAATTTTTAAATAGAATTTCAACATGATTTCAACAATATAGAATGATATGTGATAAACGAATATAGTATATTTCTGAATGTGGAATTCAATTGAAGGACCTTAGATCTATAGAGTACTTAAGGGGCTATGAATAAGGTTGCATAAGTAACCCATTCCATCTACCCTTATTGTCTAAAAACCAGATCCTTATTCATAAGTATTTAATAATTCTTGATTAAACTCTCCACTTTCCTGGAAAACTTTTCTTACTTTTGCCAGCACTTAATTTTACATAAGGCATTTAAGAATAAATATAGTCTTCTAATACTATAAGAATTACAATTATTGTATAATTAAGTGCATTCATAGTATTCTTTGGTACTTTCCTGCCTCATAAATCTATAAATCATACAAAATTCAGTTCTGATTAGAGTGCCTTTCTATTTTTAAACAGAGTATTAGGGAATAACTTCATTATTATTTTAATTTATTCAGCATTAGAGGCTGTTTTTAATATGATCTCTATCCTTTATTGGAAGCTTAGTGCAATCATCTTATATCATAAAAATACAAATTGCCACATTGATATAATTGAATTTTGAAAGCTTACATCAATACCATATTTCATTTGAAAATTAGCTTAAGCGTTGAATTCTCTAGTAGATATTTAAGTAATGAGGTTAATTCTATTTTTCCGTCATCATTAAATAATAGATCCATATTACCATTTAAATCAAAGTTTCAATTAAATGTAAAACGACCTTAAAGTTAACTGCAATATTACTAATCAAACAAACCTTATTCATTACAGATATTCCTAAACTATCTAAATACGTTTTAAGTTGTACTGATACTGAATTTCAATGTAATAAAATCAATTAGTATAATGAACACTTTACAAATCTCTATCAGTATATTATTATTATCCTCAACTTTAAAACAGTTGATTATAAATAATTTAACAAATGAACCAATTTAATTTATTTATATCCATCTTATCTAGTTGTTCCTTATAGATATCATATTTATTTTCAATTTTACTATAATCAACAAATAATAGCACTAGTTACTTCAAATACATAAAAAATAACACTTAATACTTATCACGGTCAATAAGTTGAATAATAATCTCAATTTCTAGAGTTGCTTCAATTCTTTTTTTATCTAATTTCTATTTTAAAATTTATTTACAATAAATCTTTGGTAGTATTCGTTTTCAAAAGTACCTAAATTTTAATTGGCCCTAAAACTAAATATTTTGAAATTTAATTCATTTTTTAAAATATTTTATTTTTATATTATGAAAATTCTATATATAATATTAGGGTATCCTATTAACCATTCAAATTCAAAGTGCGATGAATTAAAATACAACAATAAGTAACTTGCTACTAATTCACACAACAGTGTTATATTTTAGAAGGAAATGAAGAAGATTATTAATAACTTCAACACATCAATACTCAAATTGTAGAAAAGTCATTCTAAATTCCATATGAAGAAGACCCAATTTTAATAAGAGTCATCAATTATTTGAATCAAAATAAAATATAAGAGAAGTTAATGTGCTCCTTGTTTGTTAATCTTGAATTTTATTGTATGAAGGACCTGATTATAAACTGACTATATGGCATTTGATTTAATTTTGTATGAGGAATACACTAATTATAGTGAATATATTAGAATAGATACAAAAATATGAGCTAATGATCTCTGCGATGAATTATTTGCAATTACAAGACGGATTTTTGAGTTTATTTTGTCTAGGTAAGACAACTTTAAAATAATACTCTTTGGATTTTTCAAGGAATACTTTTGAGTACGATGTTTCGGACTAAATAGAGGATAAATGCAAAAAAAAAAAAATAAATTAAATGGAAAGATAATTAATATTTAACTGTATTTTATCAATGCTAGAAATGGAAAGTTTGGCTAATTAAAAATAATCAATCTAGTACTTTATTGGATGCGGCAATGAAGTATTAGGACGTTTAGCTATCTAAGCTCTCTTTCATTAATTATATAACTTATTGTGAATCTAACAATGTGGTTTCTAATATCTATCTGATAGAAGATAATTTTTATTTATAAGTATTTTTGAATCAACTTGCATTTTTTTGAGATTATTAATTTATTTTGTTAATTTGATAACACTAAAAAAGTGTTATAATTTTATAAATGTTAATCATTACCTACTTATATAAAACCTAAATAGAGGTATGTATTTATAATTTAGAAAAAATAATTATTCAGGAAAGGTTATACTTCCTTTTGTTATAGAGTTTTATACTAAAATCAAAATCAAAAAGAAATATCACAATTCATTGAGTTGATTACTTTCCAAAATAATTGCTAATATAACTATCAAACATTATGGAAATCAGAGTACTCTTTTAATAATGGTACCTTCAATTTAAATAGTAGCGATGGGAGTATTAATGTAAATATCATGAAATATTAAAACATTCATTAAACTTGCTTAGCAAGGCTTCATAAATTATATTTCTAAGATAAGTTTGAGTTAAAAGATATAATATAACACTATATATGTTTTCAATACGAATCAATCTTTCATACCTATGATTGTGAACAAGATAAATTTTCAATCTTAATACTTGAATCTAGGTCAGTCTATTATTTTATGAACAGAAATAATAATAGTGTTTTGAGAGGAGTTAACTTTTTACCATTCTCAATTTCGCATTTCAATATCTATTTAAATGAAGTAATTACAAGCTTTAAGCAAATTTCTTAATATATATTTCTTTAAGTGAAAATTCAGATTTACCGCTTATTATATAAATGAATTATTTGCCTTATTCAAGAAGCAATTACTTATCAAAAAACCTTTATTAACCTGAACCTATTCTATTTTATTTTGATTTTGAAAACATTATTTTTATTCAATATCCACAGATCTTAGCTATTTAAAGTTAAGAAATTTTTAGATGTTACGATATTCAAAAATAATTAATTATTTCAATTCAAGAGATAGTACATCATTCTGCCTGTTACATAATTGTTGCATTACAAATCTAAACATGATCTTTAATAATACATTATTTCGAGGATTATGAAATGTAAATTAATAAGTTTAATCACCTTTACATTAAATTTACAATTACACATTTTTAGGACTATTAATTTTATTATCCATTTAAGTACACAATAGACGCTGATAGCATAGCTTTATTTATTAAAAAAAATAATTTGTTCTATATAGCAATTTTTTAATATAGTGTGTAGATGGTATCTTTATATGATATTATTGCAACTGACAATTCCTTTTTTCAATGCGATTTATATCGACTATTATTTTCTTTTGATAAAGTATGGATGTACTT